TAGTGTAGTATTTCGTCAGATTCAGCTTCTCTCGTTGAATATTTTTGGACTATATTTCACATAAACTGCCCACCACAAACATATGAAATTATTATTTTTCATATCAAAACTTAGGTTTTTGATATGAAAACATCCAAATATAATAATAATAGTAATAATAATCGGCTTTATTCATCGAATAATTACAAATTAAACACAGTGAAACAATCGATGAAAGGCGAAGTTCAGCTTATGCTGTTTTTCAACTCAACCTAGGTATTTATGATTTTCCATAATTTTATTACAATGTAGAGGCGTTTAAATATAATTTTACCAAGGAGACGGTGTAGTCTCCCTACATCTTTTTTTAGACACATCAAGTTTTATTGGGATTCAGCCAGAGAAAGATTTAACGGACGACATAAAATGTGATTATGTGGAGTTTTTTAATAATGCATATATTCAGAGAGTATGTTAGTTCATTACAGAGCGCATTTAAATGATGACGTTTCACTGCCTCTATTTCAAGCTGAATAATCCACAAAATGGAAGATTCAATTTCCTTTAATTTGAAATGGAATATTGTACGACAAATCGATGAACAGATAATTATAGCTGGGTTTGTTCTCAGATTCAATTTCATTTTCAGGATTAATTTCCTGTCCAGCAGCAACAAAACAAATTAGACTGAAAATCCATACTACATTTATTTTTTCGAGGAAAAAGCTAATTTCCGACAAATTTCCTTTGATTGTTTTCACAAAATTTTCCACGACCACGAAAGAAAACCTCCTATGCCTGAAAAACATAAAATACGTCAAAAACAGCTCTATTGTGAAATATTTGATGTTTTCATCTGAAACTAAGGCCTCCATTATTTCCTATAGTATCAAGACTCATCCCACTTCTGCAACCATCAGAACGACGTATAATAATAGTAGAGTCCCACCAAAAACCCAGCTAATTCGGTAACAATTAGAACAAAAGATCGCCTTGTTCTTTGTTTTAATTGGTTTAGTAGAGCCTGCAGCTGTCTGTAAAGGCGTATTTTCTGATCCCGAATTCCTATCCTTCTCCTTCGGAAGTCGGGCTCACAAAGTGATTCGTTTCAATTAATGTTTTACCCTTCTTGTGTGATTAAAGTTGGACGAATCGATCGGTCATGTATTCCAGGTTTCCCTTTCGTTACCTGAATAATTGAAGAGGAGGGTACATGTACAAAGCAGGGTTCATGAAACTATGATGTGAAAATATTGTGATTCTAATAATTGGATTCTATTTCAGTATCGATGAGGCGTAGGTCTAGCAAGATCATTGAGCCTTATTTACGTTTTAGGTTGACCAGAATGTTTATTTATCTGATATGTTTTTTTAATGGAATCATAGAAAAAATGTGATTACCGAAGTGAATTAATATCTGAAAAATACTCTTCAGAGTATGTTCATAACATTTCGAGAATGAATACAAAAAAGAGTTTTATGAAATTTGACATTATTAATCAATTAATTCCATAAAACATGTAACTTGAGTAACATTCTTAGGTTTGTCTCTGAGATCCGCACCCTCTTAAATCACATTTACAAAATGTTAAAATATCGTTTTAGATTCACTTCGACCCAGTGGACGACATTCAAATTAAATTTTTTTGAAGGGAATATCTACAACATCCAAATAGCAGCATCCAAATAGCTGTTACCAAAATAAAATAATTTAATTTTTGATAAAATACTTGAAATTCAAAAACTTGATAAATAGCTTGTGGATAGATTTTTGAGAATGTCAGCTGTTATGTGGTAATAAACATATACAGTGTGTAAAAGTCAAATGGAAGAATTTCATTATTTCAGTTAGTGTACATATTTTAAAAAATCTCGAAACACGTCAAATGTAAATTATAATTTAACATTCTTCAACGTAAAAATGCCACCCCTACCTTCAATAAAATTACTGAAAAACTAAAATGTAATGCCAAACATAATGAGGTGTAGAATACGAAAAAGAATTATGGATGTTAACGAAGTAGATGTTCAAAATGTTCACCGCGAACGTCATGGCAACATCCTAATCTCAAATAAAACTGTCTTCTAACATTATTTAACATATCAGGCGTGACCGACCTAATCGCAAGCCTTATTCGTTCTTTCAGGTCACTCAAATCTGAAAGTTTAGTTTTGTAAACATATCCCCATAAAAAGAAATCTAATGGTGAAAGATCAGGTGTCGCGCTGGTAATTCAATCGATCTTCGCCTCCCTATCCGCCGATTGGGAAATTTTGTATCGAGGTATTGCCGGACATTAAGTAATGTGGTGGTGCTCCATCCTGCTGAAACCATTTCATATTCACTGGAACTTGAGGGTTTCCTGAATCAGGTTATAAATTTGCTAAACTTGGAATGACATCATTTTGAAGTAGTGCCAAATAATTATCGCCATTCGAGTTGCCCTCAATGTAAAAGGGACCAATGATATGGTTTCCTACAATCCCTGCTCAAACATTAACCTTTTGAGGGTATTGCGTGTGTTCTTCTCTCATCCAGTGGGGATTTTCTAGTAGCGGCAATTTTGCCGATTATCATGACTCTTAAGAAGCAAAGTACACTTCTAATTGGATGATATTGTTATCCAACATTTCCATCATTTGCTCACAAAAATAAGTTCTTCTATCAAAATCGTCTTCCATGATCCTCAGTAGGTATTTAATGTATCTAATATTTCTTTAAAACTTCATGTGGTTTCCAACTACTAACTATCATGATAGAGTAGGTACACATTCTCTATAACAGCATTTTCCACAATAACTGTGTCGCGATTCTATCCATTCATATCGATTCGGTGTTCAGTTTTCAAAAAATTTACTATATACGTCGACACATTTGACAAGCTGTACATGAAAATATATTTATTTTACTTTTTGTCAAATGCAAGAAAAGCTTTCTAAATTTTGGTATGGTCAAGAGAACGCGTAGGTTGTGAGAATTCTCACGTGTATTCCCAGATTTGACTATATACGTATGTGTATAACATACGTATGGTGACGATTTTTCAAATAAATTACTTTTTCTGCCTTCTTCCGTCCACAGAACGCCACTGCGGACCACCCCGTGTCCTGAGGCCGCCCGCCGCATACAAACGGCCTAGAAAGTATCCACGAAAATATAAACAAGGCATAAACTGTTGTAGTTTTCACGTGTTGCGCCGTGATATCGGATCCGCGATAAGTCAACGCAAATATTTACCTGTAGCCGAAGCAATCTTGTCGAAGACGACCGCGGCCAAAATACCGACATAAAACACGAATGTGCTGAAATGAAAACCGAGACGGTAACACGGCACATGTCGTGACGCCGTGTCTTATATTTCGCGTTACACATATTGTCGATTATAGCCCGAGAAAATTAAGAAGCAGAAAAAGACTAAATATTATTTATATTGAACTCTCAAAGTTTTAGAAACAGGCACAAATATTTCCGAAAAATGGTTTCAGAAATAATATACCAGTTACTTAAAGGACATTTATTTTTAAATTTGATCTATCCTCAGAAAACTGTGTAGAGAACAAAATATTGTTGAGTGGTAGGAGTACCACAAGAGTACTTTGGATCCCATTTGCGGTCAATTCACATGAAACATCATCCTGATGCTGCGCTTTGATCTCAATTTTGTCAGTTGTGGTTTGATAATTATATAACCATGAGAGTTTAGATAATCGACTCGCTACTTTTGAACATTATCAGTAATAAGAAAAAAATATTATTCTAAAACAACATACACATTCAACATACACATATTCTAAAAAAACAAAAACTAAAATAAAATATTTGGGTGGAAAATCATATAATTTTAAGAAATTATAATATAGTGACTTCGTCTCTAGGGAATTGACGAATATGAGTTTAATGAAGAGAGCGGTTTCTCAAATCATGTCATCCTTCATTTGTCTCGATTGAAGCGTAGCAATGAGATATTTTTCTACTAATAGATTGACGAATGTAGCTGTTACTACGTGGTAGGAGATCATCATGAAAAATGAGACTTAAAACTTCCTATGTTTTTTAATACTTCTATTTGTTACTAACGTTATTGCAGTTTTGTCATACAAGGACATTTTCAAACAAATACAATAAACAGTTTATTCCTATTGTTTGAAAATGTCCTTGTGGGACGACACTGCAGTAACGTTGGTTACAGATAAAAGAGGTATAAAACCTGAGCAAGTTTAATTTTCAATCTTCATTTTTTCTACTATTTTGAATTAACAATTCAAAATTTTCAAGTGTCCTCAGCTTCCGTAGTATTTAGTGTTTCATTTTGGCTTTCCTTAACAAAAGATAAGAACATTTTTGTTCCATCGTAGATTTTCTTCTGGCTGAGATAAGAATATATTTGTTACATTTGAAATTTCTTCAATTTTGCAGCATCTCCAGATTGAGAATATTTTTTTTATACTAGGCCGAAGTGTCCTTGCAAAGAACATCCCAAATGAAATCTTTTCTAGCGAATCAATGACTTACCACCACAGAAAGGGTCACAACCTGTTGAATGGGTTCGTAAAGCAATAGAAATCCTAGAAGAAGAACTATTCAAAATTGGGATAACAAAGCCTTCAGCTAGGCATTGTTTTCTTTTCTCGAGGAGCTAAAAGTGAAGCTTTTTCTTTCATGTTTACTAATTTTTTTCAACAAAAGATTCTGATCAAGTTGATACTGAAAAAAAAACGCAGGATCGTGGGAATCGAGCTACTGATACTCTCAAAAATAGTTGAGAGAATAGTACAAATAGTATATGGGATGAAGTAGTAACAAAGGAATTTTTAAAACAAATTGATACAGGGACCGCCGTCATAATTATTAATTTTTAAACAAATGAGTGGATTAAGTTTGATCTTCTTGGTTAGAAAATACCGTTTTTTATTGTAACTTCTAGTATGTATTCAAATAACCCTTCATTGTGAGAATTTCACTAAATAGTTTGCAAAACGTGTTGCATTTTGAATGACTTTTCATATTTTATGAAAAAAGTTCATATATGACCGTTGTCCTGACTGCCTTCGTTAACAAGTAACGGAGGTGTCACAGTTCTACTAAATATGAAACATGAAAACATCTCCTCATCTAGTTGAATTGTGATTGTCGTCAGAGTCTTCATATTGATCAAACGGGGTGAACTTTTTCCCAAAGAATAAACGAGCATAGGAGTAGTTTCTGGAAAGTGAAGACCCCAGGAGGGGCATAAGCCTATATCAAGAGCCGCACAAGCAAGCACAACTGAAACTCAAACTTTTTAACAAACACCGAGATCAAAAACTAATCAATAAACGTTTTTTATTCAATTCCATGTTTGCGAATCATCTGCTGATAGAGAGTCATGAGTTCATGTGTTTTCTGATGTTGAAATTAGTTAGGTTATACGTGAACTCAGGTAGTTTTCTTTCATTACATGTACATTTAATCAGTCCTTTTGTAAAATTTCTTTCCGAATGTTCAAGTTAGTAATTATATCACACCTAAATTCTTTCATGGAACTATTTGGCTATCTTACAGTAAAACAATTTTAATTTGTTTATGAAACTATAAGAAATACGGAGTAAGGCAGCTCTCCTCGAAATTTGCTATTAATTATTTATTTCCAAGTGCTTCAAACCATTTTGTGATAGTAACGATTATAACAATATATTTTCCAGGAGTTTCGAGGCCAAATATTTTGCAAAAATATTCATCCTGAACACGTTTTCCATCAACCCTCTCCTACCATAAAAACCGCAATAAATCACACTCCCTCACATCCTGGCGACAGTTTTTCCCTTCTGACCTACATCAAAATCGTCCTTAACAGCTTTCAGGCTGACGTCTCACTGAAAATTCCTTCTGAAACTTCCGCTGAACCGAATACCAATTCTTTCGCCGATGCGGTATACGGCTTCCAGTAGATTTTTCCAGAATTTGAGTAGATGGCATGAATCAAAGAGTGTCAGAAGATGTCGGTCAGTTCAGGAAGTTTGCTTTTCACCAATTTTCCGAGTAGGGACCGATAGGAAGTTTTCGCGTTGGAGAGTAATGGCGCGTGGAAAGGTATTTTTCACAGTGAATTGGTCGGGATGTTTCTATATTTTCGTTCATTGATATATTGGGTCACTTTAGTAATAGTTGAGTTGAATATCACTGGAGTTTTTTCCCAACACTATATCGTTATTCTCAGCACCTCGACACGTGTTTCGATCACCAAGTGATCATCTTCAAAGAGGAAGATTAAAACTCTCTTTGAAGATGATCACTTGGTGATCGAAACACGTGTCGAGGTGTTAAAAATAACGATTTGGTTTTGGAAAAAAACTCCAAAAAAGATTCCAAACAGTGCATCATAAATAGTTGAGTTTCCAAAGGTATACTCTTTGAATTCCACTGTGAATCGTTTAGTGAAATCCCATTTTTGAGTTTCTACTTCTCCAAGAAAATCTTGAATTTTTCGAGACATTGCGACAGATGGTTAACGGAAAAAACAGATTTAAAACAGATTTTTTTTTTATTATTATAGCTGAGATGACTTTTAAGTATACTGATATCATTTTCAAGTAGTTAAATGACTGTGGAATTCACATTGAATCAATACTCGAACTTGAGGTTACAAAGTTTATAAATGCAATGTGTACCTATAACTTCTACTCTTGAAATCCCAGTCAAAACACTCAACTTTTAGAGTATTTGTGAATCATTTTTTCCTGGATTCACTCCCTTATATGTGGTTGTCCGTTCATTCATATGGAAAAATATTCGCCAGAAAAGTCTCCATCGACGATGTTTGATACTACTTGCATATATTATCAATGAGTTAAAATTAGTAATAGGTAATGAATAACCGTATTTCGAATAATGACATTCACTGAAGACGAGAATACTAATGATCGAAACGTACTTCGAATCTCCAAAATTCGACAAAAACATTGCCGTTCACATTCAAACAGACTTTAATTTTTTGTCAGAAATAAACCAAATTGAAAATTGATTTATTTCCGTAACATGCGTTGAAGTCATTCAAAAAATATATAAGCAAAACTCAATTCAAACACACATATTTTCATTATAACCGTATTCCATTTCATTATTTTTATAAATATATCGAAACGGATATTTCATGGACATTGATTGATACTTTGTTTATTCAAATCACATTTTTCCATTCGCGAATATATTGTCACGGCGAATAATGCAGATAATCCATTGATATATTGAATGATATTCATTCATAATAAAAACCGAACGAAATTTATTTATGGACGGTCTGATTTTCCATTAATTGTGTTTTTCTGTTCAACGGAATTGTTACAGAATCATTTTATGATCGAATATCGGAATGTTAAAAGTTGAATATTCCGTGTTGAGAAGAATATTGAGTGCTTATTGAATTGAAGGTTATTGTTAAAAATATGTTTGAAATATGTTTTTTCCGTTAACCAGCTATCACACCCCTACGAATGACAGCCCTCAGAAGTCGAAACTTGTGCGAGCTAAGGACTAACAAGGTCTTACCTTTCAACGTGTGGTTCCTAACACGGGTTGGACGATAGCAAGTGAAAATCGAGCGTTTAGCCTGGGGCTTGAACCATCGACTCACACATCGGCCTATTGACTGAGTGAACAAAGCACCCACGTCGACCCGGCAACCGACCGACCTTACTATTTGGAGATTGTCAAAGTCAAAAGAAAGAATATTGGCATGAGTTTCGATTTCATAAACTGTCAGATCTAATTGTATACCAGTCACTGACTTATAATTAGCTTTTGTGATTGTCAAGTCCAAAAAGTGTATATTTCTATTAATTCATTGCAGTAATAGAAATGCCATGAACAATAATTCAGAAGTCAAGCAAATAAGCCCCCATTCACTTTCGTTCGACAGATTAATTGCAAATGCATTAATCTGTCGATTAATGCAGATTAATTGCAGAGTTGTGAAATTGTAATCTGAATTATCGACAACTAGCGACGCGCCTCGGCTCCGCACGGGTGCAATGCTGATACCAAATATACTAACAGCTTTTTTGTCAGAAGAAAATTCAAACATGCTTTCTTTGCAGGTTACTCGTGAAAGAGCGATATATATTGGCCCGGTACCGCCGCAACCGCTATACCGCGATTTTGAAATACTCAAGCGCGTCAGATTAAGATATATATATAGTTCATCTTTATGTTCTAGACGTGCTGTCTCATAATCTGAAGATTATCTAGAGGGATTCGCCCAATCTGACAAAAAAAAAATTCAATTTTTTTCAATCATTGAACTCAATTAATTGAAAAGCTCATGAAATAGCATGCGAATAAATAAGTGTATATTTTTTAAATAGAATACTTGTATTTATAAGAAAATAATTAAAAAAATATACTCAAACAAATTAAATTTTTTGTAATTAATTGAATAATTAATCATCATCTTCATCACGATCGAGTCTCTGTGATTAGCTGTGATGGCGTCATGGCAACAGAATTCAGAGTGGATAGAGAAAAAGTGAAAGAGGAATAGAAACGCGGAGAGAGAAATATAGGTATCACACGGCTGTTCGAGAATTTTTGTTATTTTGGGCTGCGGAAATCGTCAGATTATATATTTCTCGTTATACTTGAATTATTTTCTTCAAAATAAAAAAAAATAGCTACGCTCGAGAATGTCGAAATAATGTTATTTTTTTACAACTTTCCTTTTTTTTACGTTACTCTCAAATTGTCAGATTACTGGAATATACACTTTTTAGTATGTAATTAATTCACCCTACCTTAATCACACGCGCTCGAGAGTTTCGGATGATCAAATTTTTTTTTACTAATCTAATCCTTTAATTTCACGGGCGGCTTTATATATGAGGCTCATATTTGGTGGAGGTACTTAACCGAGTACAAGGTATCCCCCTTTATATTAATCTGCCGCGCTTTAGTAATTCCTGAAATCCCCGCTTGGGCTCCCCTATTATCTGGAGAAGTTTGTCATCTCGATTAGACGGCCTTCCTTAAGGATTTAATAATTTAAAAAAATATTGTATTTTACAAACAAATATTCGACAAAGTTCTCAAAACTTGTCTGAATCATATCATAGTAAGAAAGACAGTCTTTAACAAATCTTGATGAAAACTGATCTGCAGGAACATAATACTTCAGAGCATCACTTAAAATCTGGTTGTTCAAAGTTCTCAGTTTACACCATACTTATCAATGTCTGGCCGCGAGCCGCATTCGGTTGTGCAATTCATAAGGGAGAGATATTGCGGAAGATTAGTTTATGATTAATAATGCAAGTTTGCAGGTAGAATATTGTTAATTTCTCTCTACAAATCAACTTGCGAATGATATATTTATGTAGCACCGGTTGCGTTAAAATATTCAACTCTTATGAAAACTTAGTGATGGCACAGTCATGTTAGTCAAAATTTGGATTAATTAGTCGTTAATATATTCGCAAATCTGTTTGCGAATCTTGCAAAAAGAAGTTGAACATCAGTTGCGAAATAATGTTCTGTAAATGAACAAATATTAAATGATGTAGATATGGATATGGTTCATTAAAAATTTTTTTTTCATTAACTGATTTTAAAATATATGTATCAAAACTCGTTGAAATGTATAGGGTTTTAGGAAACTAACCGAAACATCATTGAAATGTAATTTGGCTTATAATTTTCAAAATTAACATGTTATACAATTATAGATATCAACTGTACTATTCAGAAAACAGACTGAGAAAATAATCTAAAATGACCCAACTTCGATTCATTGAACATCCCACCCTGCAAAGACCCAATACGGTGCACCATTTATTTCAGAAAAAAACCCTAATTGGATGTTTTTTCTTTGACAAAAGTCCGAAATTAGCACAAAACCGCGCACCAGAAAATCATTAACAACTGTCGGCCTCCACGGTGAAATTTCCTTAATTGTGTGCACCTTTCCGAAGAAGACGAGAAGAAGAAGATAAGAGCGACATACAAACGCCCTTCGCTTGTTTCGAGTTATTTTTAAAAATAATTAGTTTCGGAAGCTCTAGCGGCTTCGGGTACGTTACAGCTATGCCAAAGTAGGACTCTCGAGAAAAAAATGGGGGAGTAGCTAATCAGCCATTTCGGCGATTTCTTTGTGAAATATGCCTAATGAAAAAGTTGCGACATAAAATATTATTGTAATTTATATTGAAAATGACATTACAGATATGCCATCCTTTAATGTCACAAATATTAAGTTATTTTTTGGTATGACAATTAACAAATACAAGATGAAAAGAGTATAAGACTTCACTTGAAGAGGAAAAAACACAGAAACTTTGTCAATGAAAATCAATAATAATAATACTATACAGAGATAAATACTGGCAAGTATTAAACGAACTTAGCTTTTATATAAGCATTCGAAGATTGAAATTATCATTTAAATTACATCAGTATGATGTCGAAAATAATTATTTATGTACAGCTCAAAAGTTATTTGAAGACGGTTTAACAGTATAACAGATGATAAACAGTATCACCGAATCATATAGAATCAATAATTATTAAATACTTACTCAAAAACCAATGCAAACTATTCATTAAGTAAAACACAAGGTTACTTATACTGTAGCATAGACAACTGTATATAGGCTCAGTGTGTCGAAAGAGATAACGCCGAATCAGTGGGAAGAGAATCGCATAGTCGCTTGCGCATAGCGACCCGTCGCCACCGCATGCATCGCCACGCCAGCAATCGGTTTTACGTGCGGCTATATATGTTTCACATCAAACATTGTCAGAATACAACAAAAATTGGCTGAACAAAAACTACAAATTCTAGATATTGTTAGAAAAATTTTGCATGATCCAAATATTATTTCAAGCGTCAAGACCCACAAAATTATAGAAATATGTAAAACTATAATTATTTGACGGTTTTAATGATCTGTTAGATGTCATCAATCACTTAACAATCTTTGAATTTTTGCATTGCCAGTTATGGAGGATAAAGTTATGAAGGATTGAGATTTTAAATAAAACATTCGAGTATGCACTGGCTACTATGCCAGTGGTAACTAATTTCAATTGTTACTGTCAGCACTTATATAATAATTGAATTGTTCAATCACGATGACCGTTCTGAAATAAATATTTATTCGTGATCATGTATGTTGATGTCGCCCCTAACAGCCGAGTAGCCACTCCTATGATCAGACTACCCCAGACTCCTAGTGAGTATTTTGAGTCGAAAATCATTAACAGCAGAGCTACTTCAAGACAAATTAAGATCGGAGGTAAATGTTTCCTTTGTCGTACAGAGACCATCTACATTTTGTCGGCACAAAAATTAGTCGGTATATATCATACGACAGTCAAGAAAATACCAATTACTTGTGCTTGAAATATATTCGCTCTAAACGAGCAGATTTATGGTTTGCTGTCCAGTCTGACAACCTAGCAGGAGATGAAAGCTATGTAGAATGGCGACTATTTGAGGAAACCATTAGGGATGTTAGTCAAAGTGGAGTTAACTACTAGAAAATATCTGTCGATAAATCTTGAGGGGTGACTCACCATAAACGACGATTTGCGATGTTGGTGCCATTCTTTTTGCGGCAATGTTCTCAGCGACGCAGGTGTAGTTTCCATTATCCTGAGGCCGAGCCTGTCCGATAAGGAGGTGGCCTTCACTGGTCACTAGAACGTCTGTGTCGGGTTGCAGAATTTGATTGCCTCTCAACCAGTACACGCGCGGAGGTGGCATGCCCACGGGAGGCATACATTTCAGGTCGACTTGGTGGCCGATCTCCACCATATGCTTCGATTCGGGGTTCACTTCGAACTGCTTCTTCAAATCTGAAACAAATGATCAAAAATTAACGTCATATGTAAAACATTTTTCGAAAATAATTGTCAGATATATATTAAAAGAATACTTTTTGTGAGATTTTCATTGAACAGATCAGAACGTGCCAAAGGAACTGAAAATAGTACATTTTACTTAAATTTTATCCCATGCCAAGAGGGGGAAAACGATTATTTACGTCCACGCCATATAAAGTTTTCTATTACAATTTTTATTTTCACGTTGGTATTGTGAAATTGAAGAAATGAAATGAATTGATGAATTGTGATTAGTTTATTGAAAAATAATTAAGTGTAATCACAAAATCGAATAGGTTACAAGTAAAAAAAACTAATGGGCTTATCAAATGACTACTGAATAAAACAAACTTACATTATTAGAAAAAGTTGTGTCAACAAGCTCATGGGAAAAATTACACGAATTGAGAGATTGAATTGACTCCAATAAAAACTGGGAACAAATGCCGTAATTTAGAATAAGCTATTCCAATGATTGAAACTTCGTTAATCGACGACTTCAGAATACATAAAAAACTATAATTAACTAGGCTAGTTTTCAAGTAATTTTTGAATATATCTACCAACATTCAATAAGTGAAAATATATTGGTTTCTAGTTTGAATATACTATCAAGACGTGAATTGATAATTTTTTTAATATACCCTTCCATGAATATTACTGGAGTTTTTTACCCAAACCTCTCGAATATGATCACTTGGTGATCGAAACGAAAAATAACGATTTAGTGTTGGGAAAAATCTCCAGTAATATTCATTACTACACCAAAGGTTCCAAACAGTGCATCACAAGCATACCCTTCCATAAAAGCATTTTAGTACGCCAATGTTACTAAAACGTGAAAATGCCTTTGAAGATTACCAGTCGATTAAATCCGTCGATAAAACTATCAAAACAGCTCTATAACTTTTCTCTCTCATGTTAATTGCTGATATTAGATCTAAACGTTGGTAACTAAAAGGTTTCACTACGACGTTGGTATGTAAACAAAACCAATTTAGATTATCGCTGGGTTCATGTGGAGAAGGAAAATTAATGACGGATTGCGTAGCACAAAATGAATGAATGCGTAGTTCGAATCGATCGATAATGAGTTGGTATTGGATTTTCACGAAGAAAGCCAACGTGAGGGTGATCTATGATTTGCACTGCAAAAAAAAACATTCAACGAGTGACAATATGGCTATAATTTCAACTTTTGAGGATTTTGGCATTCTACATTTATCCAATTCATCAAAGATTGCCTCGTAATACACTACTTAAAGTCACTTAAAGTTCCATTTTCTATCTCTTCGACTTTTTGTAATGGTAATTATCGAATAGAAATGCCTGAATATAAAAAGTTTAAAGATATTGACATAAAAATTAACTCATTGATAGATGTAGCCGTACTATGAGATCATCATGAAAAATGTTTTTTTACTACTTGTATTTGTAACTTGCGTTGCTGCAGTTCCGACCGAACATTTTCAAAGGAAAAATTATCAAACTCAAAACAGAACCTTCCAAGTATAGTAGTGACCCGACATAGCACTTAAAACTGAATGGAAAAGCTTTGAGTGAGAATTTGAAACGGTGAAAATCAAGAAATATGTTTCATTAATGTCAAGATGCATCGTAACTCTACCTAAACAAAGCAAAATACAGTAAACAGTTCACAGTTTTCCAGTACACCATACTTCATCAGTTGCCACCGTATAAAACCTCAATTTCCAAACAATAATCCAACAAAACCTTATTTAACCATGGCTCTAGCAGAGATAAGCAGCGTTTTGAATGCAGCGCCTCCTACGAGGCAGACATTCTTCAAAAACAACCTATAGACCAAGATTTTGATTGTCAAGTTGGCGGGAATTCGGTCAGTATATTGAAGAAAACGAATTTCTAAATTGTCGACGTTTCTAAACTTTATTGTTTCATCTTCAGGACTCTGAAGTATAAGAACAAGACATACATATTAAAATGGAAATTTACAAAGCAGTTCTGTTAGAAACAAAATAAATCATGTAATATAACAATCGTTGAAAAATAATAAACGTTTCGAACACTTTACAAAAAAGCAACGTTGATGAGTACTTACATTTAGGGCGGCTTTCCGAGTTGAAGGGTGAAGTGAATAATTTTGACATAAAATATAAATACGTACACAGGTTCCTGAAAGACGTTGACACAGACACGAAGGGATTAACAATCTGAACTGTGAATCGTTCTTTATAATTCAAAAAAAACCATGGAAGAAATGAGAATTGAATTTGGAAAAAGCAGTCGGTTAATGATTCCAAAGTTAGTTATTGTTTGATTTTGTTTATCAGATTGAAATATGAGGTGTGTTAGTTTTCAATATCCGACCTTTTGTTAACGCATTTTGTTCCATGTTTTGTTATCATTTCGTTAAGTTGTCTTATTTTCAGTATCGTCTGTTGTCCTATAATACTGACTGATTCGAAATCAAAAGTATGAAGGGACGATTTGTAATGTTCTGCAAGGCTAGTAGGATTCTTCATTGTTTTTAGTGGGTTGTGTATGCTTTTACAATCCCTGCTATGTTCAGTAATTCTTTGTTTGAGATACCTGCCTGTTTGCCCTATATATATTTTTCCACATTCAGCACATGGTATTTTATAGACAATATTGGATTTCAGGTCTTTTGGTGTTTTTGTTTTTATTCTCGTGAATAAATGATTTTTATTCATTGATAGATGTAGCCGTACTATGAGATCATCATGAAAAATGTTTTTTTACCACTTGTATTTGTAACTTGCGTTGCTGCAGTTTCGACCGAACATTTTCGAAGGAAAAATGATCAAACTCAAAACAGAACCTTCCAAGTATAGTAGTGACCCGACATAGCACTTGAAACTGAATGGAAAAGCTTTGAGAGACAATTTGAAACGATGAAAATCAATCACAGTTTTCCAGTAAACCATATTTCATCAGTTGCGACCGTATAAAACCTCATAATCCAAACAATAATCCAAACAATAATCCAAAAAAACCTTATTTAACCATGGCTCGAACATTTCTAGCAGGGATAAGCAAGGATAAGCAGCGTTCTGGATGCAGCGCCTCCTACGAGGCTGACATTCTTCAAAAACAACCTATAGACCAAGATTTTGATTGTCAAGTTGGCAAGAATTCGGTCAGAATGTTGATGAAAACCAATTGTCGACGTTTCGAAACTTTATGGTTTCATCTTCAGGACTCTGAAGTATAAGAACAAGACATACATATTAAAATGGAAATTTACAAAGCAGTTCTGTTAGAAACAAAATGAATCATGTGATATAACAATCGTTGAAAAATAATAAACGTTTCGAACACTTTACAAAAAAACAACGTTGATGAGTACTTACATTTAGGGCGGCTTTCCGAGTTGAAGGGTGAAGTGAATAATTTTGACATAAAATATAAATACGTACACAGGTTCCTGAAAGACGTTGACACAGACACGAAGGGATTAACAATCTGAACTGTAAATCGTTCTTTATAATTCAAAAAAACCCATGGAAGAAATGAGAATTGTATTTCGAAAAAGCAGTCGGTTAATGATTCCAAAGTTAGTTATTGTTTGACTTGAGAATCAAAATCATATTCAACGGTCGCCATCCTTTTCAACTATAGACCAAGGTTGTTGAAAACGACTCGATCTCTTTGGCAATATCGTTTTGAGATTCAACTCAGTACACTTCGAACTTTACTGTTCAAGAACACTTTCATTTGGAGAAGTGCGTTTATGTGGACTTAACTTCCTGAGAGCGTTTTTCCAAATGAATTTAATCTACAGCGATTCAAATCCAGTGTGAATCGCTACTTTCGCACAGGCACCGCTCTTAAAGCGACTTAAGGCTTTTCCAGTAGTGCTTGTGTTTTGTTTTTAAAAAAAAATCTCGCTGAAGACTACACATGCGAGTAGATAAAATTAAGGACTAGACTATGAGAAACTCATAGATTCATTGATTTTCTGAAGTTAGTATGTTCATAAGTATCCTGAATTTTTGAAAAAAATATACAAGGTGTGCGCTGTTACGTTTATTCGGTATATATCAATAGCTCCAGAATTCCTTATATGGATTGTTATAGACTGTTTCTAATGAACTTCACATTTAAAATGAATAGGCATACACTACATCAAATCCTGGACAATACCTGGGCAATTATCTGAAAATAATTTGAAGTAAGTTGACAATAAATTGATAATTTCATAGTTTTGAAATCAGTTACATATATTGCAATATTCAGTCAGAAATAGATGTTGAAATAATTATGAAAATAATAGTAATAATGAAACATAGACCATCAAGTTCATCAAAACTCATACAGCGTTTCTATTTTCATCAAGCAATAAGGGTTACTATTATGACAGATTACTTGTTTTTGCAAAGGAAAATTCATATATTCTGAATTTTCACGTAAAATCCATTCTAAATTTTTCAAATAAAAAAAAATGCTTTTCGACTGGCTCATGTCACATGTTTTTGTATTTCACGTCAGCATCATTATTAGTCATAAACAGTTTAACAGGATTATCGAAAATTTCATTTGCATTAAAGGTAGTACTCCTATTTGTTAATACATTTTTGGGATCACGTCGTACTGATTTCAACCAAGTCTTTCATTTATTGTCTTCACCATGGCATAGAAACGGTGATACTTTCATGGCATTATAGTTCAATGGCAACTCATTGAAATTGCACATCCTCCTCAATTTTATTCAATATCTAATATGAAACGAGCATAATAACTTCACCAGTCAGCAAGATACTTTAACACCAAAAAGGAATAACAGGATTCAAGCCGTCGTTGTAAAGCTGATGGAGAAAGTCCTTAGAAATTTTATCATCTCGTGGCCAGTTCAGTGGCTCTCTTATAATTTTTAAAAATTGTCTTCGGAAAATATTTTACACACACGCCAATCAAGTATAAAGTTTTTGCCATTAAAACAATTCTGCAAGCGGTCTATTTTAGAGAAAAAAAAACTGTTCACAAAGAAATATATTTTCCATATCTTCGTAACAGTTTTCCTGGCAACCACCTTTATTATCTTTTTCAACCTGGATAAAACGTAACAAATCGCTCGACAAATTTATAACATCTGATACATCGAGGCGCCCGCATCTATACATTAACCTAATTTTTGCGGATCCGCATGGAATCAGGCCAAGACACGGTCTGTTGCCAATCTGATACGTCAATTTGAAAAGTTCGTTCTCTCATAAAAAAGCCCTAAAAGCGTTCCTGTGTTCATCGATTCACTTATTAGACCATAAGGCGCTGCGGTATTTTTCGAAACGGTGAAGAAAATCGCTCAGGACTTAAGTGGAAGATAACGACATGGGCGTAGAGGAAAAGGATATTGGTGATGGAGGAGCATCCGATTTGTGATGATGCGAATTTGCAGGAACCAATAGTGTTACTGTGTAGCTATCAAACTATTCATAACATCAGGTTTTTGGGGTGTGTTACTATGTTAAAATTTCTGGCTATTTATCCTAATCTTTTATATACTTTCACTTTCTTTGTTAAGACTTCTCTGCGTGAAAAAATTCTCACTTTATAGATATTTGGACCATATTATCAAAGAGATAAAGAAGCCAAGTGGATTTTTTTCGTGAAGAGTAATAAAAAAAATACATTTATTCACTCAACAAAAATGACTAAGTTTACCCAATTTGATCGAAAACCTCAACAACCAAAATCTATAGTTAGTATATGTAGCCGTAACTACGTGGTAGGTAATCATAATGAAGAAAAGAGAAATGAAACTTTCTATGTTTTCTTTCTTTTCTCTTTCATTTCTCTTTTCTTCAATATATAGTTCTGTTTTAGAATTTTCAATTAGTGCTTTCAATATACATATTTTCGACTTTATTTTGCTATAGTGAAATAATTAGGTATTCCCTAAGAGAGATGAATTGCAAGATGAGTCAAATGGCCCACTATTTCAAAAGGATCTTAGTTTTTTTCATATCTACTCCAATTCAGTTTTGTTTCACCAAGTCCTTACAGTTTCACGGATCTCTCTTCATAAAACCAAAGTGAAATTTGGAGATAAATATTCAGACTGAGAACATGATTTATCGATCTGGTAAAGGTTTGGCAGCATTATCATTGTGAATTAAATTATAAAATGAAGTAATATCATGAATTACGTATTATATTCCTTAAAATGACTCTCATAAAAATGTAAGAAAGGACAAAATGTAAAGTAAAATATTTACCACCCGAAATGTATCATCTGAATGCTTTTCTACTGGGAAATACGAATTTTCTATACCATTTCTGAAGGACTCTGAACGAATTTCCTTTTCATTCAACAATTTGTTACTCAAAATCATTGGGGTGGTTGAGACAAAAATCATGTGGATGTTTTCAACTGAATTCTATGTATTTAGGTATTGTGAGAACTGAAAAAAATACTCAAAAAATCCCAGAAGGTCAGGTTATTTTTCAAAATACAAATTTGTATAACGAAATACGGGTTTCTTGGGCTAGCTTGAAGTCATAAATAAATGCTTCGAAAGAAGCCTTAAAGCAGCTCTGCTTCACATTGGCAGCTTCTATGACTCCATTCCTATCGGTCACCAGGTACACCTCAAAACCTACAAAAACCTTGGATTCATTCTTTGCAAATCAAAATATAAACAATCTGGGTTCACCAAATTCCCTTGCTTTTTGTGTCGATGGGATAGTAGAGATCGAGCAAATCACTGGACCATACAGTGTTGCTCTCCAAGGGAGCTTAACGTTGGTGAAAAGAGCATCCTGCACGAAACGTTAGTGCCTCCTCATAAAATGTTGCTACCACCGCTTCACATAAAGCTGTGATTGATGAAGCAATTTGTTAAGAACCAGAGATAGGAATTGTTCCAAATACTCAATATCAAAGCTTCCAGGCTTCTCGAAGGCAAAGTGGGACCAGATATTAGATGGCTTATGACTGATCCACAATTCATCATAACCATGATGGATCCTCAAAGATAAAGGTGGATTGCCTTCAAAGAGGTCATAGAGAAAATTTTAGGCAATAAAAATACTGTAACTACAAACAAATTGTCAAAAAAATGTTGAAAGCATTTCAAATCTAAAGAAATGAACTTCAAACGTTCAAGCCAGTCTCAGATACACCTACACGGTAGGTTGAATGGCCTCTGACATCTATCAGAAAACAATTACTAGCCTGG